CCACTTGGGGCGGCAAAAACGCTGGAGCCGGCCCTGACTGAGACTTCCTTTCCCTTGAGCCGCCTAGGGGTTTTACCATGCTGGCAGACAGCAGAGGAGATTATAGTTTTTATCTTACACTGGCTACAATGGGACTTCAATTAGATTTCACAGGGTATAAATCAGGCCAGAGGTTTTTAAACAGCCCAAGGACTTTTCTCAGATCTGTGGCAGGTTCACTGTACCCAGGCACTAGGCACAACATACCTAGCCTTTAAGAAATGGAAGAGAGAAGATCAAGGACGTTATTTTTTAAAACAATGGGCCACATTCTGCTCAGCCTTACAACTATGCAATCAAATTAGCATAAAAGAGTTAGACTCTTTAGTATTGATTTTGTTGGAATAAATGGGCCCAAAGCGTCAAAGGGGTTAACATGACCCTGCCACTGTCCCACATTAAACAGTGTTAAACAACCTTCAGGGTTTGGTATACAGCGACCTCAGCCTGCTTAGTGCCATGGAAAACATGTCATTAAACATTTTAACCTCGTATTTAAGCTTCAGCAAAAGAAGGAAAAACAGTAAAAGCATTTGCAATATAAAGTATTAAGTAAAGCTTTCATTTTAACAACATCTGTTGTTCTCTTTCTCTGTAGAGAGTCTTTAGAAGGAAAAAATACCTTGTTTGACAGTCTCTTAAATGGTAATAACAGTCCTTTTGGGAAAAAGAGAAAAATTAGCAGCAATGGGCTGGAGCTGTTGTTAAAGTCCAGTCCCATTTCCCAGAAGACAAAACAAGATAAACGTACACAAGAGGGGAAATAAAAGAATAGCAAAGATAGAAAATGCAGCTTCTGTCTCTGGCGTTGACTTTCACTGGCAGCCTTACTGATGGAACAACCACACATACAGCGCACAGTTTTATCAGCCACGCCAAGGCTTGGCAAACTCATACCAGCATCGGGCTGTTTAGGGCATTGCTTTTAGATGCCTCTGTCTGGTCACAAGCTTACAAAAATGTTGCAAAATATACAGTCTTGGCCAGCTAAGTCAGACTCTTATTAGACAGGAGGGAAAAAAGCTGATGGATAGGAAAGAGAAAAAATAAGGTGGAGAAGGCAAAGGACACCAAGTGGGTGGGGATGGTGGCAGGGGACAAAGTCTCACACCCCAGGTGGGGTTCGGGATTCAGTCAAAGCCAGTAGAGGTGGCAATGTCATCTGTGTCCCTCTCTCTGCCTCAATCTGCTCAGCACATCTCTCAGGATCAGGACCACAAAAGCCCAATGATGTTATGGTAAACCCCAGGATCCAGGAAATGGTGCGGGGGCGCAGCCATGACGGCGGAAATCACTCCTTCCCTTTATTTCAGTCAACAATAGCCCTGCTTCACTTTGCCTCTGCTAATTTCCCCCCCAAAGTCATTTATTTTTTAAGGATCCCAAAAAGGAGTGGCGGGTGGAATAGCCCGTCCCCGCATTATTTTGCACCCCCCAGGACAGAGTGCAAGGTGTGAACAGGTGCACCTGCACTCTGATCACTTAGATGTTAATTCGTTCCCCTTGAGAATGCTGCTGGGGGTAATTAGACAATCAGGCTGGCTGCATGGATGGTCTAAGGAGCCCAGTACCACATCAGCCCAAGGCTGATAAAGCAGCAGGCAGGAAGTATCCAAGCAGGGAGGGGCGGGGAAGAGGGGACCAGGGCTAGGTGAGCTCCGTTACTCAGAGGCCTCAGGGGAGGGAGACCTCTGTTCTCCTCAGGTCCTGGCGAAAGGGCCAAAAAGTGCCGTTGGTGCAGTAAATGGATTGTTGCCTGGGGATTGTTGTGAAAATGGTGGAGGGAACTTAAAATAAAAAGGGTACGGTGAAGACACAACCACTGGAGTCCATGCAGTTTCTGTAGGAAGAAGGGAGGAGAGGAGCCACGCCCCATAACACATCTGTTACACCTAATTTCTGGCACATCCATTTTGGTTCATTGATTTCCAGTCCAACATTTTTCTTGTTTAACAGGCATGAACTTACCACAGTCCTTGAATTATAGCAGCAGGCCTTTTCGTTTGTACTAACTCAGTCTGTCTCCCTTTTGCATCTTCTCACATCAACATTTGTTGTTCTAGAGTATTGTGACACTTTATGAACTTTCACTCACTTTTCACAGTTGAGCCCACTATTAAGGTAAATCTATAGGCTCAATTATCACAACAGCTCCCAGGTCCCATTGGGAATTGGGCACCTAAATCCCTTATAACCTTAGAGGATCCCAGTCTGACTAGTCTGAAATCACTGGGCAGGGTTCCTAGGAGTCTAATTCTAACCCAGCCATTGCCAGGGCAGGGATTAAAGAAAGAGCACCCAGAGCTAAGCACCTCTCCTGCGTAAGTGAGGGGGGAGTTCTGCCTCCTGTTTCAAAAGATTTTAACTGTTGCACAAGTCACTGAATTCTTCTAGGCTTCAATTTTTCTCTCTGTGAACTGGGTATAACAACAACACACAAGCGCTGTGAAGAGGTAATGAATTTCACAGCAAGTTCAACACCTTAGATGAAAAACAGTATAGCAGTGTCATTGTTGTTATTCTTTAGCTGAATGTTAACATGGCATAAAAAAAAGTAACAAGGTATGGCATAAAACTAGGTGGTTTTGTGAAAAGGAAGGTGAAATGGATCAGCTACAGAGACTGACATAAGGGGAAGAGCATGGGCAAGAGTTGGCTTATGAGAGTCAGCACATGTCAGCGTATGGCCATAGGGTTAGGGATTAAACAAGCTAGGATATGCTGTACCTTATGTGATTGCTGGAAATTGTCAGTCTATCTCCTGAATGAACTTCACTGAATTAAGTTAAACCTTATTGAATTATGGTTAACACCTTTGGGGTACTTTGAATAAAAATACAATTGTCTACATGTTATTGTATGTACCTTCTCTAGTAGGGAGAAGAGATGCTAATGTACTTCCTCCGTTATCAACCCTTTGAAGCACGGCCCTGAAGAGGTTCACATATACTAGTTAAAACTGGATTCTCCAGGGACTAATGGACAAAGACAGGATTTTTTGATAAATAGCCTGGTTTTAAATTGGCCCAGGGCCTTCTCCCTGCTCCAGCACCTGGACAGGACCCCTGGTCCATGGAGGGCCCCAATCCTTGTGGAATGACTGGGCCTACTAAAACCTCAGAAGACTGAGTGCTGTGAAGAATTTGCAACCACAAAGGAAACCCTGGAGGTGGGGTGCTGAAAGACTGTCCTGCTAGAGCCCATGTTAGCACTGGGGCGACGTCTGATAGCATGTGTATAGGTTCAATTATTGTTTTCTCTGTAATACTGTTTACCTTAAGAATAAAGTAGGCTTGCATAGGAATTGCAGTGCTGCGTAGTAACTTATTACTGGAGCAATTACACCTGTTAACCATCTCTGAAGAGAAAGCAAACAGATGCTCTTAACCTGTCTGAGCTGGGAATAACACAGTGAAGGCAGGGAACTGTGCAGCCTGAAAGTACCCTGTTCAGAATGGGGAGAGACACTGGTCTCCACCCAGAAAGGCAGCAGCTAGGGAGCTGGAAGCCTGAGAGTTGGTACCCTTGCTGGCCCACTGAGGGAAATATAGGTGCAGTTGCCCTGAACTGTGACACCTTAAATGAGCAAACCCTACATGAGACAGAGCAGGAGGATCTGGGCCTGACAGCGGACATAAGCAGGGAACCATTAGCACAAAGTGGCTATAAGGTAAAAATGCAAAATGAATGTTGGGAATATGTCAGTAGAAACATGGGGTAAACAAAAAAAGAGACCTAGAACAGTTGCTGCCTGGAAGGCAACAGTGGATAATTAGTGTTGAATCCCAGACAAGTCTCCCCAAACAAACAAACAAACAAGTCTCCCATATTCCACGGCCCTCTGGGGGTCCCCTGCACTCTGACCTCTAGAGAGGCATTTCAGGCTGGGGCTAATGGATGGGCCATGGGTATATCTTTCCTCCACAGCCAGGATAATTAAGGGGACCAGAGAAATAATTTATGTGGAAAGAAGACTGTCAAAAGTGAAACTCAGGGAGGAATCTTGCAGCTGGGAGAAGGGAGGGCAGAGAATGATCACTATTTTAAAAACCCAGTATCTATTATGTCAGTAATTGGACATTAGGCAGCATTTTTCTAATGGCCACAGAAAGCAGGCAAAGGCAGAACTGTATCATTTCTGTCACTCCTTTTAAAATATGTCCACTCCCATCTGAGTCTGCATATTTTACAGTCTCAACATACTTTCCAGAAGTTTCCAAGTTTGGCAGACCTGGTGAGATGTTTTTTCTTAAGTACATTTACTCACCACACAGATTACTCACGTTCTCACAGCTCTGCGTCTTGGAAGTTTTCATCTGAGAAACAGAGAAGTAACAGCAAGTGTGGATATTATCAGTAACCCTGCAGAAAATGCAGGCACTTGAAACTGCTCTCTCAAATGTGTTAGACATATTTAAGTCACTAATTCTCATGGGTTTCATGATGATATTACTAACGTTGTTTTCTACAGAAGAAAAAATGGTAACAGCTACTTTGGCTCCAAATTTATTATTATTTCTAGAATGTAAGTAATGATTTACATGTATCTTATGAATAGAGCAGGGGTCGGCAACGTTCGGCACGCGGCTTGCCAGGGTAAGCACCCTAGCGGGCCG